TGGACTGCTTCCCACATGGGTTTGTGAGATCCACCCTCGTCCGTGAAATATTGCCAAAACTCCCATCACAGAACCTTCATCAACTGCGAACGGCATGACGTGACTGATAATCCGCGTTAGTCAATACGAATAGACAACTTGCCTCGGACAAGTGTGCTGTGCGCTGAGTCAGCGCCGCTGACCAGAGGGCACCTAGCGTTCCCAACTTGTGTGACTCGTCCATTGCGGACCCACTGGTCCAGTTTCCCCGAGAACTCCCCATCGAAGCACGTGATTGGCCGCCAAGCCTTGTTCGTTTTAAGCGAGTCACTTCAATGTGTGATTTACAGCAGACTCTCTTTCCCCATTAACCTACCGCTTAAAGGTTGCACAATTTTTCGTGTGGGGCGAATATGCCACGCCGATATATGTCTTAGTAAGATCAATTTCTCCGGGTGGGGCAACTATGCCACCCCGAGATATGCCTTAGTAAGATCAATTTCTCCGGGTGGGGCAACTATGCGACCCCGAGATATGCCTTAGTAAGATCAATTTCTCCGGGTGGGGCAACTATGCCACACCAAGATATGCCTTGATAAGATCAATTTCCCAGGTGGGGCAACTATGCCACCCCGAGATATGCCTTAGTAAGATCAATTATCAAAGTGGGGCAACTATGCCACACCAAGATAAGCCTAAGTAAGATACATTTCTTTGAAGAGGGTAGAACCATGTCCAACTCTGTAACTCAGAACTAATTCCAACTTATCGAAGACAGACTCTCGCTAAAGTGTGATAATTAGTCATAAGATTATTGAAGAACAACTTGTCCACGCGGAGTTCTCAATGTAGCTTTGAGTCTAAGATCTGATCCAGATGGTATGGAGGTGTTGTAAGCTCTGAAATTCAGGGGAATAGACAGTTGAGCGGCTGAGAGAAGGAAAATTGAGGAACTCACGACTCAGCCGAGAACACTCCATCTGCATAGATTGTTTCCGTCATTTCCCCCGCAGCCGGCAAGATCGCGAAACGCTCAAGTGTCTCAAGTTCGCACCTGTCGAAGAAAAAGGACGAAACTGCTAGTTCGTATCTCGAGCCATTTCATCGAGCCGCAACCCACCCTTTAGGAGCGTCCTTTGCTGGGTGCTCCGAGCCACACCAGCTTGTACGAAATGGGGAAGTGCCCTTATATGGCAGCTGATCAATATAGGCGTGCTCATGAGAAGAGACATCCAGCTTCCACTCGAGAACCTGCACTCGCGCTATCATTGCTCATGGCCCATGAGCCATGGGATACTCATGATGAATTGAGTGTTATGTTGATTATCAACACTGTTTGTCTGTTCAACATACAACAGACTCTGTTCTATGTTGGACCATCGTTATTGATCGCAGATAGAATCTCAATTAGGACAATAGGGTTGATTTCGTAGGTTGCTAGATCAATCCTGCGTATGGTTTTCTCCAGTTGAATGAGTTTTGTCGAAATGAACCATTTCGACAAAACTGTTTAAACTCACCTACCGATCCGTTCAAGCGCCGTCGCGAATAAACCTTAAACTTGTCGCTTACGTCTCCTGGTGGTACCCTCACGCAGAAGGTCGTTAGCCGACCGAGACCAAACATATCTGGGAATGGATTACTGGAACAACGTAGCTTCGACTACAAAGTCATCATACTGTATGATGACTTTGTAGTGTATACCAACTCTGTATGATTCATACAGAGTTGGTATCCAATAGTCCAGGTCAGTGCTGAATTTCAAGCTTTATAAACGAGCGAAATTCTAGGCAATTATGACGAGACGCCAGAGGTCCGCATGCGCAGCTCCTCCCCTAACAAACGAACCCTCTTGCGTGCTCACAGTCTAAGGCTCCGAGCCATGATGGATGGTCACCATTTGCCTGGGCAGGATCACGCGCCAACAGCTCAAGATAAACTTTCGGTCCAAGTGCGAGCAATGCATTCCGAGTACCTTCCACAGAATCAAACTGAAAGTCCTTCGTTAAGCACAGAATTAGCTGAGAAGTTCTCAGCTAGGCCTCTCAGTGATACCCCTCCGATGGATAATCTCACTCATCAGCTACCTTTGCCGTCGTGACTCCCGCCGATAACTGGTCGAACGCCGGTTGCCTCCTTGAAGGCTTCGATTGAATCTTCGAGATTCTCAACTGCCACAACGATATGGTCGAGTTCCGTCATGATAAACTCCTAGTCGGGACTCTAAAACTGCCACATAACTTGCCACTGCGTATCGTTTGTTTGCCCGCGAGGCAAACTTCGCCGGTTGTAATTTCGACAAAAATCTCCTCCTAGCGGCCGGATATACTCGCGTATGCTCCATCGTGAAGCAGAGAATTCCAGGAACTCATCCTCGTGGATATTGCGCAATCGATCATTTATGCTTCAAAGCCAGAATTCCCACCCAAGTGCCGTCGATATTGACTCGCCCTAACATAGAGACCATTGGTTGGTCGTGGATATGGAAGTGGATGTGGATTATTGGCTGCGAACATGCACGGACGAATATCTACAACTGTAGCAATACTGGTGAGATGGACAAACAAGATCAAAACAGCTGTAAATAATTGAGCGAAGTCACTAACTCCGCAAAGTTAAGCCTACGACTCAACAGGGCCCAGCAGAACTATAGCTCCGAAAAGCTCGTGGGGTCACTTCGCAGCCTTCACCGATCGATCGCTACGCAGCTGCCGAAAATATACACTATATTGCGCAACTCCGCCAGCTCGAGAGAAGAAAATTATTTCGCCTCGGAGCCTCCAAGTCGGAGGCGTGTTTGTAAATTAATGCCACACAATTGTTACCTAAAGAGCAGCAACGCCTCACAAACTCATACGTGATTTCAGGAGCGCCGTTGTCCATGTGGAATTTCATTGAAATGCGAAAGTGAAATTTCAAATTGAAAATTATCCTCCCTCCAACAACCACTGATAGTCGAAGTCTCGACGACTCCGTCGGAGTCACTCCGAGGCTCCCTATTCTTTCAAGTACATTCCACTAAAGATTCCCTCTATTGGGAGCCGGAACGATCCTCTGAATTAGAGAGCCTAACTGCTCGAGTCCCGTCAGTGCTTGACTCAGCAGTCTACCCAACACAAGCCATACTTAGTCACACAAGATATTTGTCTAATGTTCAACGCTAGATCGTTTGGAGTTCTTGGCTTAGTGAAGAAGACTTAAAGCATCTGCTGAGGTATCATACAGACGTACACATACTTGCTTGTCATATATCTACCATATAGGATACATGTAAGCTCGGAAACCCGAAAAATTCGTATCAGGATATATGTATGTCATATATCATACATCCGTGTTGACGTAGTAGTCGGAGGAGCATCTGCATGTCGTCGGAGTGAGCATCTCTATCTTACGATGGAAAGTCGTAGTCGGCCATATCGCGGAACTGTGATTCTTCTGGGAGGATATGAACGCGACAGTGATTAGATAAGATATCCAAGCAGTGCTTGGCAAGCACTGTAACTTACAAAGCTAGCCAACATCTCGGAGGACTACTGGGATAGCTATTCGACCGAACTCGCCAATTGGGCCCTTCGAACCATCGCGGGTGCGCCATCATGGCGCATGGCGCCGCCATGTGAAATCCATGAATGACACCGGGGTATGTCGACATTATTGTGTGCGTTCATCCTCCTGATAACCTCGGTGATCGTCGTCACTTCGCATCGCAGGCTGCGATTCGCAGCGATGCCATCGCTGACGGTGACGAGGTCCAAGAGAACTGTTTCGTATGGACCGTCTACGTTATGGTATTTGCGTTCTTTCGTATGAGAACAGTGTCGATGCTTTCTATGAATCCCAGGCACTGTATCGGATCACATGGTGATGAGTCGATTACGGACTGCCAAGAAGTTTGCAGTGATGATTGAGAGACTCGAACGTGACAGTACGTTGAGGAGGCCACGTAAGAACGAACATCTCATTCACCAGTACTTCGTCGAAACCGGCTTTCGGAGAGATTGTGGAGGATCCGACGAGAGGAAGAAAAAATTATCGATGTGTACTATGCGGTTGGGAGCAAGTCATCAACCCGACACGTTTCGTCGGTCATCTCAACACTGTACATGGTCAGGGTATTAAGGATCCTCGGCGTCTTAGTGTAAGTCACTTCTGTACAATCCTGCGCACCGTACTTCTGGAATACAGGTCGGATCCGAACCGAAGCGACTGAACGATGATGGGTCAGCTCTCCCTTCTCCTAAGAGGCCGAGAATCAGTATCGAGCAAAAAACTTCTCCCTTCTCCTATGAGTAGCTTTCAATCAGGCAATTCGAACATCTTTAATTCTGGCGGATAACTCTTCCTTTGATGGAGTGTTATCCGCTCAAATTGGGTCGATGGGGGAACAACCCGTTGGAGGCCCGTCAGCCTGGGCGACAATCCCATCCGCTTGAATTTACGTGTTTTTTTTGTATTTTTTCGCAATTTTTTGGCATTTTTTTGTTTTTTTCTATTTTCTTCAGCTCCGTTTTTTTCATGCGAAAAAACGGAATGAAAAAAATGGAAAAAAACTCGCGCGCTGGAAATAACCAACCCTGCAACTATTGCGCGGGCGAGTCAGACAGCGCATTGGAGAAGAGGAGCATAACTCATCAGTTCTTGACCCTTCGGAGTTTCGAGCCTTGATGCTTGATTCTCCCACTAGGAACCGTTTCCCTCTGGGGTTATCAGTTTGATTGACTGGGGATGATTCCCGTCCTTGACATGGGCCGCCACAGACGAAATCTTTATGCCTTGTGCCAATTTGCATTCAGAGTCCGAGTCTCAGACAATTTTCCTGCTTCCGGGTAGGTCCGGTAAAATAAGCAACAATAGAGAACCTCTCCGTCGGCATCCTCAGTAGCAGTCAGTCTTTTTTGTGCTCCTTCACCCACTTCGCAAATTTTCGGCGGGTCACCCGCCGCGGGTGCTAAGGACGGGGTTTGACATAGGTTAATCGCGCAGAGAGAGTGCCTGCAACATCGCGCCTGATCTCGATCGGGGACCCCTAACAACCATACCCGGGGGAACCACACGTTGACAACACAGAAGGTTGTTATAAAAGTTGGCATCATCATTAGAAATAACACTCATCGACGCTTCGACGATGATGACGATTTCTCATCTTCCAACTCGTCCTCGGCTGATATCGCCCGAAGAACCTACGACAACCACAGACCTTGAAAACTCGATCAACTTGCCGCGCGC